GGCAGGCTCCACTGTGCCTCCTCAGGCCAGCGGAACAGGCTCTGCCCGCTCCCCGCCCGCCCCACACCCTTCCCACTCCATCGCCGCCACTCTTCCAGGGCCCCTCCAGTTGGGGCTGCAGACCTCGAATCTCATCAGCGGCCTCTCTGCCGCCAGATTCCTGCTAAAGTGCCTTGATTGCATAATGTCTATTTGCATAATGTAAATTGCAATCTCCTAGCTCGGGAGGCAGGAATCACAGAACAGCCATTATTTTTTACCACTCCACAAAAATTCTACATTTAGAAAGCAGATTTGCAGCTCAGAAAGCCGTATAAATCTGAATCCGCCAGAAACGCCATTAAATCACACCAATTAAGCTGGACCAACGAAGAGCCCCTGTCACTGTTCCCTGCACACTCAAGGACTCCCAGCCCAGATGGAGGCCACGAAAAACTGGAGGCTGTGGCCGCGGGGCTGAAGCAGGAGCTGCAAAAGGCAGGAAATTCTGTCTTATAAACCTTAGCACACACCCCAAGCACAGGCGCCCATGAAGACCTGGTGGAGAGAGGACAGAGAGGGGCGGAACTAGTCTGAGTTATTTCTAAGCTTGTTGCCTGATTTCTTGTGGGCATTCAGACAGACACTGTCTGTCTGCAGACTTTTAATTGACGGGGCAGGAGAGAGTATGTGAAGAAGAAGCGCGCACCTTCGGCAAATGCAGTGGGGAGATGCCAGGTATTTCACACGAGAGTGAAATTCTAAGCCCTCAGCACCACTTTAATGACCTTTCCTGTCTTCTCCCAAGTCCCCTCCAGCCAAGCAAAAGAAAACAAAATCCTGCTCAGACTGGGCTGGGCTGGGCCAGAATCTGAGCTCCTTTTTAGAGCTGTTTCCCAGGGGTCACTGGAGAGAGAGGGGAGCCACAAGGTCCCAGGGAAGGGGCAGTCCCTCTGACAGCTACTCGTGATTCCAGCTTCCCCGCAGCCACGTACCTGGTTACTCTTTTGCCTCTTTATTGCTCATTCAATATTCATTTGTCAAAGGGCAAGATGCTAATGCGTATTATTAAAATATCAATAGTTTATGAGTGAACTTTTATGGAGAGTACAGTTAAAGGAAAGACGCTTGACCATCTCCTCCAGGAGCAGTGGAGAGGAACAACCTTTCTTTCCAACTCTGCTTTTTGCGTATTTCCTGGGTGAGTGGACGGCTGGACCACTATCCAGCACCTGTTGTGTGCCAGCTTTCACATGCTGGATTTCACTGAGCCCCACAGCCGTCCTGGGAACGGTGTACAATCCCATTTCCATCCTACAGATGAGAATCCGAAGACCAAAGAGACGTGTCCAGAATCACAGCACAGAGGCTCCAAGTCACGGGGCTGAGACCCAAACCCATGCTTTGGACGTCAAACCTCGTGTTTTTCCCCGCAAGTTGAAGCCTTGAAAATACAAATGATCATTTATGTTTTTATCTGTTTCCTTCACCTGCCCAAATTAAACATTAGTTTCCTGACCTACGTTTCACAAAAGGGGAAAGGCGAGAACAGGAAATCATTCCATGCTTTCACACAGACCCATTTCCACAAAGTCGACCTCCACTGTAGGTTTGTCTAAGCCAGCTCCCAGAATCTTTTCTGCACATTCAGAATCTTAGAACTGAGAGTGATATTGGAAGTGATGGCATCAAACTTCCCCTTTTACAGGAGAGTAAACTGAGTTTCTTGGAACCACACAACAAAGTGATGAAGTCTCTGGAATGGAGAGTTCTAAGTTCAATTTCAGGTCTGTGACTAACTTACTCTGTCACTAACTAGGGTACCTCTCTTGTGCTCTGAGCCTCTGCCCCCTTTCTGTATCTAATACCGAGATAACAACTGTGTCTCATAGAGCAGTGTAAGGGTTTCAATGAGGAAAATGCACATCACGTGCTTAGCAGAGTGTCCAGCGTGCAATAAACATTGGTTATTAACATTAGTATTAAGCTGGCTTAGATTCCAAGACTCTCCCTCCAAATTCCAGGCCCTTTTTATCAAGACCAAGCCCCTTACCCCTTTCTTCCCTGCCCCCTCCTTTAGCCATTAGCCATTCTCATATCTTGGCCCTTTGGGACAATGAACTGGTCCTGCTGCCACCCTTCGGTCACCTGAGCTTTGTCTCCAACCCCTTAAGTCATAACAAAGCATCCAGGGTACTCAAATTCTCTTCCAAAATTTAGCTGCATCCAGGTCAGAAAAATGGCAAAGGAAAGGGATATAGGTCCTCAGGGGCACTGCCTCCTGCGGGTTATAGTGTGGGGCAGAGGGAAGGAAGGCGAGGAAAGGACGTGGGCATCAGGGAGGAAGGGCTGCCTGGACCTCCCCAGGCCCTGCATAGTCCCGATAGCCTCTTCTGTCCTGATCTTTGGCTGAAGCCTCCTCCAGCTTGGAAGGCCATGGAGCCAGGGATGTGGGAGCTATGGATGGGAATGAAGGGCTCAAGGCTTGTGGAGTCCTTGTCGCAGATCTAAGACCCTCTCCAGACCTGGCACCTCAAGCTAAGGGTGGCAAGCTGGATCCACTCTTGCTGAGATGGACTATAAGGTAGAGGTTTCTACCAATGGTAGGACCTCCTAACACCAGCATGTACTCGGGGAATCCTGCTCTGGCCTCGGGGTACCTTAAACCCACACACTGTGTGAGTTAAGGGACGGTCTGATTCTTGAAGGCAGAGGTTTCTTTAGCCTAACTCTGGAATAGATGAGGCTGTCTGTGCCCAACTTGACCAACACTAGTGGTGGTAGATGGTACTTTCCAAAGATGGTGGCAACAGTGTATCCTTCATCCCTCATGCTCTTCTCTTAATGTGCTGGGATCCTCCTCCTTTGAGATGTGGTTGGGGGGTGTCCATGCTCCCTTCTTACAACCGAGGCCTCGGTACCACCCCAACCAGGGGAACGTGGTGGAAGTAACACTGCTGGGCTTAGGTGGTACAGCCCCCGCCTGGATCCTGTTCCCTCTTGGGACGCCCCCTCTCGGCTTCCAGCCACCCTGTTAGGATGTCCAGGTCACATGGAGAGGGTTCATGGGTCTGGTGGACAGCCCCAGCTAACGTCTCAGTCAACAGCTGGTCTCAACCCCCAGAGTTATAAGCGAATGAACCTTCACATGATTCTAGCACCCAGCTTCTGCCCTGGTGGAGACCCCAGACCTGTGGATGGGGGACAGTCTCCCCGCTGTGCCCTCTTTGAACTCCCTGCTCACAGAATAAATGAGCATGATGAATACTGTAAGTCGCTAAGTTTCAGGGTGGTTTGTTACACAGCTGTAATAACTGGAACACCACTCAAATTAAATTAGACGGTTGGCTGTTTCCCTCTCAAATACAACCCTCACTTCAGACTTTCAGACTGTTCCCTGCTTGGTGGTCCCCATTCCTCGGAGCCGCCCTCCCTCATCCTCATCTTCTTCACTGCCTTCAAAAGGCAGGCTCCTCCTTAGCAAAAAACATGCCCTGAAATGTCCTTTGAGTCTTTCCATTTCAGAGTCCTGGGACCTGAAGACCCCCCCTCCTTCTCCTTCCTCTGTATGGGTCCCAGAGTGTCCCCTAGAGGGCGCTCCCCTGGGTGGGAGTGGCCCCGTGCCAGGCGCCCGCTGCCCGCGGGGACAGGGAGGGTACGTGCAGACCTATTTCCCCTATACTTGCCACTCTCATTAAGGTTCACGCTCAGCTTGCTCCTCTCATACTTGACTTGACTTATGAGGTCCCTCTAACCTCCGGTGCGAGGAGACATCGATTCTCACAAAGGTCATTATCTTCCTGCTCTGGCTCCCCACCCCCCACCCCCGCCCGGCCCCATCTCCTAGGTAGGCTTTCCTGGAACAGGATGGAGGGAGGCACCCTTCCCCGCCCCAGGCACGGGGATCCAACCACTCCAAGCTGGGCTGGAGAGGGGGTGCCCTGGGAGCCGCGCCCGTCAATCACGGAGGCACCAGCACCGACTCGCAGGCCATTAGGCGGAGAGCCGGCGCCCTGCTCACTCACCGGGCAGCCATCGGCAGGATGTTAGACGATCGCAGGGCGGCCATTCTTATGATTTATTCAAATACTCATTACAGTCAATCTATTTTTACACAGAGGTGAAGATGTGCGCTGATAACGGTTAATCATTTATAATTCCATGGACTGGTTGGGAGCCAATGTACTATCAAAGTCGCAGCCGCTCAGCCCCCAGGAGCCCCCAAAGCAGGGTGGGGAGCTTTGCAGCTCAAGGCGAGCGGCTTCTAGCTGACATGGCCTTACCAGCGACTACGTGGAGGGAGCAGAGGGGACGGAGGACCAGGGGACCCCCAACACGCCTGCGGGAGCTCACAACCCCGCACAGCAGAGTACAGGCAGAGGGCTGCCCAGCGTGGGAGGCAGAGACTCTCGGAAAAGGGAGAAATCCCTTCTAGCTGGAGTTACCAGAGAAGGTTCCACCAAGCTGACTGGTCCTCCAGGTGGGGAGACCTGTGCCGAGTGGGAGAGCCGATGTTCTGAGCAAGTACAGTCTAAGGCGGAGCGGTCACTGCGCTGACAGAGGGAAGCCTCAGTTGATGGAGGGAAGCCTCAGTTCCTTTCCCGCCCTCCTGCCTCCCTAGAAACAGCCGGACGCAAAAGCAATGCGAGCTACGAACTTGGCCCGGTTCCTCCTCTTACGGCCTCCCAAGCTTAACCCACAGACCACCGCGGCTGGGGTCTGGGTTGGCCTTGCAAACTCAAGAGTTCCCCTCTTCAACACTCATGACACACATAACACATCCAGTCCACCTTAATGCACAATCAATACCGTCTAATTAAAGAGGATGTCATGTTACAGGGCTCCTTTGTCACACTCAGACCTCATCTAATTAGAGGGCCACTGTATTTTGCATTCCGACCAGCCCGTTGTAGAGTGCTTCTCTTGCACAATGCGTGGCTGTGAAAGATCAGGTTCAGGGCTGGTCTTTAACCCATCACTTTATTGAGTCAACATGGAAAATGCCAATCAAAGTTACTTACAGTTCACAGTATCTATTCTGGTGAGCGGCATGGAGGACAGAGAGCTCAGAGTCCTGCTCCAGACTTCAACCTGTCAATGAAAGAAAATACTTTTATAGACTATGTCTGAGTCTGCTGGGGGTGAGAGCCAAGGCGGGGTGGGGGTCTGGCTCGGAAGCACAGCCAGGGTAGGCGGCCCAGCGCCCACAACTGAGTGGAGAAGCTTCCTGAGCAGGGGTCTCCGGGTACAAAATGATGATTGTTTAGAGAACTAACTGGGACAGAAAGACAGGGTCACCCCCTCCTTCCCTGCTGGTGCCTCAATTTCTTGTGAGTTTCATCCCCTCCGCTATAGGAATCCCAGAGAAAGAGAGGCTAATGGCTGGGGAGAGCCCTGAGCTGACCAAAGCAGTGATCATTTACGGATGCCTCGTGTCTGACGCCATACCCTGTGCAGGGGGACAGGCCTGAGGAGCCCCCAGGGAAGTCTGCCATCTATACAGGGGAGCTGCCAAAACAAGCAAACAACAACGCCAATGCTCTTGTTTATGGCAGGATTATGGAAAGTCCTGATGGAGGAGGAAACTTTCAAGCAAAAGTGAAGGAAGAGTCCCGCTGGGCTGAAAGGAAGATGCGTGTGGAGAATGATGAGGGCGTGACTGGGAAGATCAAAAAAACATGACTGCTTTTCACTCTCTTTCTGGGTAAAGCAACAACAACAAGAAAAACCCAGCACGTATGTATCCGGTGTCTCCTCCACGATCCACACCTGCTGGGCGCCGCAGGAAAAAAACACCTGGGTCCTGCTATAAAAGTGCGGCCACGTCATTGCAAAATAAGAATATCCGTATGAAACATCATCTGATAAGACAAGCGAATACATGAAGTAGTGCTATGCTGTGTGCTAGAGCCTCTCCCTCTCTCTCCACAGAGAAACCAGGTTGGCAGGAGCTGGAGCCCTCCAGGAAGTTTTCAGGGGTCTTGGAGGACTGGTCAGGCAAGATTTAGTGAAAGGAAGAGAGAAGGCGTTCCAAGAAAGGGGAGCAATCTGAGCGAGGAAGAGTTGGGGAAAGCATGTGGCCCAGGGACAAGGCAGAGGCTGGTCCGCCTGAGAGACTGGGGGAGGTACTAACGCTGAGTAAGCTGGGTGGGGCCACAGCAACGGGGTTCTGAGCGTCAGGCAGAGGCCAGGCTTGGGCTGTGAGCTCCTGGAGCCACTGAAGGTTTTGCAACAAAGAAAGGATGTGAAGAAGAGGCACCTCCCTGCCCTGCCACCTCCCCTTAGTATTTTCCTTTTAATTAAATGAAACAGAGAGGCTTCCTGGAAGAGGTGGAATTTTAGAGAGAAGATTCAGGCAGAGGGTGTAGAGCAATGCGCTCATGGAAAGATGTCCCTCTTGTTCATGATGATGTCCCCCAGGATGAGCCACTTCCTCTGGGACTGTCTACTAACCTCTCCAGGACCAAGGCTGGTGACTCACGGAAGTACATCAGAGACAAGACCAGAACACTCGTGGCAAGGTGTTGAGGACAAGGACAGCATCTTATGCGTCTTTATAGCCCCAGATCCTAGCAGAGTGCCAAGCATGTGTCAGGTTCTCAGCAAATGTCTGTTGAAATGTTCAGTGGTGGATCCTTTTCATTCTAATCAGTGTCCACAAGCAGCACTTCAGAACCAGCCCCTGACAAGGGGCTCCAACTTGTAATCTTCTGAACTGTTGACACATTGCTGCTGAGCACACATGAACTCAGTACAGGACGTTTCTTGGTTGGACTGCATGGAGGGGGTGTCTACCCTGCCCTCTGGGACTGTCTGTTGAGACACAGCAACTTGGAAGAAGATGTGGTGGCCCTTCCATTTGCACATGCTGCTAAGCTCGGAAGGACAGCCACTCTGCTGGGAGATGGGTTCAAGGATGTTATAGAGCTTTGAACAAGCTAAAAGGATAGGCCAAAACTTAACAGTCAATGTTTTCTTCCACCAGTTTTTATTTCTTGTACAATAATAAGTGAAATAAATTTGAAAGTTAAAAAAATTGCTCACAATCCCATCACTCTGAACCATCGACTTACTATGCCCACATGAAAATGTCTTTTAATTTTCTTACAGAATTGTAGAAAAAGGTTTGACAAGAATATATATATAACAAACCCTACTCTTACATTCAAAAATCAACTACAAAATCACAGACTGAGTTATGGGTTATGGGTTAAGGCATGGGTTATTTGAGTTAAATGCATGCTCAGGTAGAGCCTGGGGTATGGTGTGGCTGCCAAGCCCGCTACATTGATCTTAGGTTGCCTTAACAGCCAGACAGCGGCCAACCAAGGGGAGAATGGTCCCCTCACTTTGGACTTCTCAATCCACATTACTTTTAGATGCAGTTTTGGTATCACATTTTAGTAACTTCAACAGTGATGAGTAGAAGAGAGAGGTGAGCAAAGATGTCTAGTGGTTAAAGGGCTGGTTAAAAGCACAAGCGCTGGAATCAGAGGGTGCAGGTTCCCATCACTTACCAGCAGTGGGACCCTGGGCAAGTTCCTTAACTTCCCTGTGTCTCAGTTTTTCATCCATAAAATAGGGCTAATAAGGGTTTTCTACCTCTGAGGTTGGCTGTGAGGGTTGAATCACTGCATATACTGTGAAGTGCTTATAACAGAGCCTTGCCCAAAATATGCACTCACTGAATGTTAGCTGTCTTTGTTGTCATTTTCATGATTAGGAGGTTGTGAAGTAGAAGATGTGGGAAAAGAGACTAGAGATGCACCTTCATTTGTCCCTCTTTAGTACTACTCATTGTTCCTAGTTCTACTGACTAAAGCAACAATCTCTCTCCCACACGGTGGTCCTCCAAATATTTGAAGAAACTATGTGAAAGAGGGGCTGTGTTGCTCCACCCGGTAGAATTAGGGCTAAATGATAGGTATCCGAGGGAGCCAGCCGTCAGCTCAATATACGAAAGACAGACTTCTCTGGTAATAAGAACCATCCCAAAGTGAGCTGGGCTTCCTTGGAAGGTAATGAGCTCTCAACACTCACCAGCACTGGGTGAGAAGATGCCCCGAGCCTGGTCTCCCAGGTTTGGCCTCACCAATCCATAAAATGTTAAAAAAAAAAAATTGGGAAACTGGGAGGGCTGACAAACATATACACTGATAAAACATTAATGGTGTCTTGTTTCACCATCGTTTCAGAAAGTAATTCAACCCCCAAAAGTAAGGAAAGCAAAAAGGGCCACCCTTTGAACTCTGAACTGAATGAAGACACATCATGAAAAGCATCCCCTCACCCCCGCCAATCTCTGTCTCCTCTCTCTCTCTGTCTTTCTGTCTCTCTCTCTCTCTCTCTCTGTGTCTCCATCTGTCCATCTCTCTCACACACGTATACACACATGCATGCACACATACGTGCACATGCAACCTCTCCACATCGTCCTTGTTCTTCACTCCTTGTGCACCAGTGGAGAAGTCTTCCTGACTGGCACCAACCTGGGGACACCTGCTGGGAACCAGCCAGGTGCATGGTATTTTAGGGCCTTCCAAAGCCAGTAGCCTGCAGTCATGGAGGGCAAGTGATCATGTCTAAGGCCCTCAGACAAGCAGCCCTGCAGTAGTGCAACCAGAATTTAAACTCAGGCCTGTCCTGCTCATCATGAAGATAAACTTGAGTCATAAATGGGATTGACCATTCACATTTATAAATATGAGGAAATATATGGAATGATAAATGAGGAATTCTCCTGTTTGTTTGGAAGAGGAGCGGAGAAGGAGAGAAGAAAGCTTCCCGTGGGAGGAAGCACACAAGAACTTGACTCTGCATGCCCAAGAGAGCTGAGCAAACTCCCACGAGCCATGCCCCGGTAAGCTGGAAGGATGGACCAAGATAAGCTTGGGGCTTAGCAAGGCCGTGGGTCTAACATAGAGGGCACGAGACCAAGGGTGTCATGAGTTCACTCTCCGACTCCATCATTAACTTACTGTGTGATCTTGAACGAGGAACTTTAACCACTGTCTGCCTCAGCTTTCCCCTCTGCAAAATGATCGTGTTAAGACTACATAATCCTGAAAGCAAAATTCCATCTGGAATCCATACTTCTCTGAGGCTGCCCCGACTCACTCCCCAGGGCGGACCTAAGTCCCCAGTGCTAAAGTAGTTCAGTATGTGATCGTAGTTAAGAGTGACCATGCGGGAGCCAGGCAGTTCTGGGTTTAAGGCTGGGTCCGCCACGTACCTAATCGTAACCTCTACAAACCTCAGTTCTCTCATCTTTAAAAGAGGGATCACCTTTCAGTGAGATGCTGCGCCTACAGCATTCTGTGTGCTGCCGGGAACATACTCATAACGACAAACGGGGCTACTGTTGCTGCCTTTCGGTGTTATGAGGTCAGGGCTGGCAGCTGCTGAATGGAAAAGGAGAGGCCAGTCAAGACGGCTGGGAACCTGCATTCTTCCCACTGCCCTTGACAAGCTTTTCTGCTCCTGCCGCAGCCAGACCTTTAGGATGAGGACAAATCACGGCAACATGTTCTTGGGCACCAAGGGTTTCTCCGGACTCCCCTTCTCTGAGAAGCCCTCTGTAGGCATATGAGCAAAACCCTGACAAGAGAAACAAAACTTGAATAGACCATCCTGGGAGAAAACGCCTGCAGGGCCCTGGTCCCTCCGCAGTGTGTACTGCATCTCCCACCCCATGGCCAGGGTCCCCTCTCTTCTCCACCTCTGCCCACCTCGCCCCTGACAATAGCTTCCAGTTGTTCACGTTAGTCGAATGAGGCTGTCAGTTATAGCATCGCAGGCCCTGACTACCAGGCTCTAAATTACACAATAACTGGGTAATTGAATACTGATGTAATTACCTGGCATTAAATGCTTGGTGCTAAGAAAAATTCCTGCCCAGCACTGAGGGTGCTGCTTTGCTCAGGCCTCCTCTAAGCCTGGTGAGACTGATGCCAGTTCCCCACTGTCTGCAGCCCCCTGGGCCATGAGCAGTGCTGTGCACCCAGTAGCAGAGGACCTGGAAAAGGTCCCTCGGTGACACTGCACAGGCCACTCCCAGGCCCAAGACCCTCAGCTGGGGCCTGTACCTGTGA